AGTAATATTCCAAAGTTTCATTGCGAAATGTTGTAAAATGCGGATAATATAGCCTTGTGAAGTTTGCCGTTTTTCAGTCATTTTGTATTACGCACGGGAAATTGACAGCCCAATCGGGTGTCGGGGCATCAATTTCCCGTTTGCATGTAATACAAAATGACTGAAAATTGCAAATTTCGCAAGGCTATATTATCCGCATTTTGCAACATTTCGCAACGAAACTTTGGAATATTACTAATTTTGTGATGCTCTTTCAAGCTGTGATGGAATTTTTGTCAAGATCAAAATTTAGTCTATAATGCAAATGGTCCATTATTCAGCAAACCTCCACCAACCCTGCTATTGATGTTTCCGCGTGACTGCTTTTCCACTATTTCCGCTTTCACGGTTGGACTGCTAGATTCAACCATAGAAGTCAACCAAGACTTGAACGAATCTCTGCGACAACTTTCACTCAGGTTTTCGAAACCACAGTCACATACCTACGCATTGCAAAGGTTGAAAACTTGTCGCCGCTAGACACGAATGGTGTTGAAGCGATGTGGAGTCAACGATAATTCATGATGGTATACCGAAAGTTAGTATACAAAATTCCTTTACTAGTGTGAGATAATTTTTCAAACGTGGGAGTCTTGTGTACAATAACGGTTGCCGTGGTTTGTGTCTGAATTATCAGTGATCGAAAAACACAAGAGTCGTGTGTAAAGGTACCACCAGTTCGCGTAGTTCAGACACAAATCACGGCTGAATTCATTGAGTTTCGAATAACTGCTTACTGTACCGGCATGACTTCTGACTGTAGCGGTAATTTCGAATTTTTCTAATATTGGCGTTTTACCGTTGCTTAGAAATTGGCGAATGCTTCAAATTTAATAATTTTGTTGCTTTAAATTGTATTCTAATCAATATACTAGTGCAATGACTCGCTGCTATTTCAATGCCTTCGAATTACTATCATAGATTAGCGGTATGTACCAGCTTGTAATTGCCACAAAAGTTGAGGTTTTAATTAAGACCAATCAAGCTGGTAGTTATTTATGTGACTGTGAGGTCTTACTGAAATGGAATAAGAAAATCGGGTACATTTTCAAAGCGAAAGCATTAAAGTAGGGATGCTTTCCCGCTTGATTGCACGCATAAATTACTTTAACAAAATCACACAAGGCTGGAACGTAAGGCATTCATTAAAAAAAATGCTTGAAATCTAGCTCCGTTGCAAAGAGGTTGTACGCGTATAATAGACTCGGACCATCCACCAAAACGTATAATCGACAAGACGTCCTATGCGTCTGATCTATACTGACAATGATTTCGGGAACAGAAGCTAACAAACCATGGCTGATATTTTTGTGATCCTTGGCCGCTAATGCCGTATTTATAGACACGAACGCATGATCAGTCGAGAGGAACAACAAGTTCAAGTGTAAGTTCATTTTGCCGAGTTATCAATGCTAATTTTGCCGAGTCAGCACAATCGCTAATTAATATTTCTTTTCCCAAAATTGTTGGCGAGCGAGGGGGGGGGGGGGG